GGGGGGGGGGGGAGGCTGGTGGGGCCTCGCCTGGCAGAGCGGGCAGTGGTGGTGCGCGGACATGACGCCGAACGAGAAGAGGCAGCCGCAGCAAGTGTAGCTGCGCAGCCCCTGCATCAGGAACGAGTACCTGCGGTGCGGCGGGGACCGGACGACCCTCAGCTGCGCCACCCCCCCCTCTCCCCCTTCGCCCCCTCTCCCCCTTTGGGGCGGGCGATGCGCACTCGTACGGCTGCAGCCCAGAGTCCGGCGTGCCCCACACTCCCTCGCAGCGAGGGCATCGCACCTATGGACATGTCTCGGACGTGTGATGGACGTGCCTGGACACGGCCCGCCTCCCGGCGTGGCCAGCGCACGCGAGTGCGGAAGCAGTTCTCGTTCGAGCGCGCGAGCGGCTTGGGCGTCTTGCCCTTGCCCCTGCCGCCTCCAGCGTCCTGCACCGGCGGCGCCGTCAGCGTCTCGAAGGCGCGCACCAGCGCCTGGAACGCCTCCTTGGCGCCTGACAGACATCAGACAAGATGCGATTGTTTCGTCTTAGACCGGCATCTGGTAACCCCATCCTCTTTGCGCCCGCGAATCGGCCGCCGAGCTTATCGGGGTGGAGCAGCCTAGCGGAGTTGGAGTGGGGTCCTGGAGTGGGGTGAGCTGCTGTGAGCTGCTCCCTGCAGAGGAGAAGCTCGTCGGGGTGCCTCGCAAGCCCGAGGTACGCCTTTGAAGAATAACATTCTTGTTATGATTGTTATCACTACTGCCTCGCAAGCCCGAGGTGCGCCTTTCGCTGCGTGGCATACGGAGAGTCGCAGCTGACGGCCACGCCTGCAGGCGCAGCGCGAGGCGCGAGGCTTAGCAGCGCAAGGGCGCCGCGCTCCCCGAGTGCAGGCAGCGACGGCACCGCACACGGAGAGCACGCCCTCCGGGTCGTTGCGCTTGCTCGCGGCCAGCACCGCCCGCGCCATCGCAACCGCCAGCCCCGGGTCGTACTCCTCCTCCTCCTCCTCCTCCTCGCCGCCACCGACGCTCTCCGAAGCGTTCGCCTTCGCCGGTGGCTTCCCCGCCGCCGCCCCCCGCCGCCTTGCGGCAAGCGGCCGGCCCTCCTCCGAGTCGGAGCCGGCGCCTCCCTCTGCGCCGCCCGCCCCTCCCTCGCCCCTCCCTCCCTCGCCAGCCTGCTGCGGGTCGCCTCGCGCGCGCTTCTTTGCGCGTGCGGCGAGTGGCCGCCCCTCCTCCTCGTCCGAGTCCTCCTCCGCCGGCGCCGACGCTCCTCCCGCCCCTGTCGGCGCCTCTGCTGGAGCCGCCTCTTCCGCCGCCGCCGCGTCGGCAGCCGCCCGCTCCTCAAACGGCCGGCGCTCATTGTCAGGGAGGGCGGCAAAGGCGGCCTCCATGATCTGAACCAGCTCTCGAGGGCCCACCGTTGGATTCGACTCCGCGGTCTGACTCCGACTTGCCCGCTTGTAATAGTAAAGCGCGTCCTTGCACAACGTCGTGCGCGGCGGCTGCGGCTGCTCCTGCTCCTGCGGCGCTGCAGCCGGCGGAATCTTGCCCACCACCCACGTCGGGCGGGTTCCGTTCATCTGCTCGGCCTGGACGACGCCGCCGGTGGGGTGGAGCGCCCACAGCACCTTGTTGACATCCTTGTGAGTCACTCGGACTGGATTGGGATCTCTCTGATTGGGACGCAGCGCCGAGTCGCCGTTGATGATGTCCGCCAGCTCCTGCTTGTCGAGCGGGCCCGTTGCCGCACGAAGGGCGGAGAGAACGCCGGCGGCGACGCCAGCGTCGTACGAGGCCATATCGGCGGCGACGCGTAGCGCGTAACCGCCGGGGCGGGCGCCTGGGATCTGAGCCCGAACCGGCACTGGCAACTGCAGACGACCTTCGCGCGCGATTCCCTGATATCTTACCTACCCGGGTACCGGGAAAGGCGAATGCGCACCCCCCCTAGCTAGGGGTCAGGGCTCTCTAGCCCGTAGCCCGATCCCGATCATCCGGCCCGCTGGATGCGCTTCTCAGCTCACCGGCCCTGGATGTGAGGTTACCGACTGCACTCCAAGTGCTCCAAGGCCTCGAACCCGTGAGCACTTGAGCACTGGATAGGGTCGATTCCACGTGGTACGGGACCCCTCAGAGCGCCTCTACAGCGCTCTACATCTGCGGCGGTCCGTCCCGCGGCGGATGTAGAGCTCTACAGCGCTACAGCGCTCTACAGCGCTCCACAGCGCTCTACAGCTCTACAGCTCTACAGCGCTCTACACTCTATCTACATCCTCTAACACACAGACACACTCAGCCAGCCGCCACACACCATCCCGAGTGAGCAACTCGCCGGCCGCAAGGCACGAGAACCTACCTACCGGTCCGGTGCCGGCACCGGACCGGTCGGTGCCGGTCCCTAACGCCCTACCCCACTGCGCACATCCAGGCATAACGCCTACCCCCTACCGCCTACCCCCTACTCCCCAGGCCGCCGAGCAGCGCCATGAGGGTAGGGCACACGCCCGTGTCGCAGAGAGAGCTGTCAGTCTGTTGCAGCTGCTCCACGCTCCACTCGCCGACACCCTTCTTTCTGGTTGCGGAGGTGCCTCGATGTCACGCGAATCAATGTATAGCCGTCGCTCAGACTGCGGCAAGATCTCGAACGCCGTCCGAGTTGCAGTTGGTTGACTCTTCTTTTTCAGTGTACCTGTGTTAGTGCCAGTGCGAGCCAGTCCCGTGCCCAGTGTTGTGCGAGGGAGCTTTGTTGTAAAATTCTTTTCCTGCCAGTCCCGTGCCCAGTCATCGTAAAATTCTTTTCCTGCAACTCTCCGTAAAATTCTTTTGTTTGCCGTAGAATTCTTTTGCTGCCCCAACCTTGTTCGCCATATCATAGTGATCTACAACTCCTTGGTCGCCGCTCACACGCACAAGCTCACAGGACGCGTTCGTTTGCGTTGGTGCAGCTCTGCGGCGAGAATGACCGCTGAATCGATGCGCATGCGCATCGACACCATCGCCGGCGGCTCGCTGGACGACACCCCGCACGAGTCCAGCCACCCTGCCACCGCCGTCGAAAACGGCGTCTTCTACTCGCTCCTGATGCTTCAGACTCGAGGTTGGTTGTGCAACTCCTGGACGGAGCGATTCGTCGTGCTCGCCGATGGCCAGCTTCACCTCTACGCATCTGCTGATGCCGACGCGCCTCTCGTCACTCGCGCCATCTCAGCGTGCACTGGCATCGTGACAGAGATAGATGACTGCAGGACAGGCGAGTACTGCTTTTCGCTCCGCATAGCCATGTGCGACGGGTCGCGCGACTCGGCAGGCTACCTGCTGACTCTCTGCGCGCGATCCTCCAAGGAGCAGCAGCTGTGGCTGCAGGCGCTCGCCAACGGCGGTGTCCGCTACGAGGAGGAGGTTCGCGCCGTGTCGCCTCGCGCCGACTCGTTGTTCGACCTCAACGCCCGCGACCTGCTCAGCACCGAGCTGGTCCCGCTCTCGAAGCACGCCGGCTGCGTCTGCCTGGTGGTCAACGTCGCCTCCAAATGAGGCCTGACGCCGCGCAACTACCGCGAGCTCGTGCTGCTGCACGACGAGCTGTACGCGCGCGGCCTGCGCATCCTCGCCTTCCCGTGCAACCAGGCGCACGAGCAGACCTTGGGAGAAGCGAACAATACCAAGCACATCTCTAGCACACACACTGGGAGAAGCGAGAGGACAATACCACGCGCACCTCTAACACACACACGGTGTTTGCAGTTTGGGCGGCAGGAGCGGGGCTCGCCCAAGGAGATCCGCGCCTTCGCCGACGGGTACGGTGCCCGCTTCGACATCTACGCGAAGGTCAACGTCAACGGGCGGTCGGCAGACCCCGTCTTCACATACCTGAAGCGGCACCTCTCCGATGGGCTCGGCTCCTCCATAAAGTGGAACTTTACCAAATTTCTAGTGGACCGTGACGGCAAGCCGCGCCGCCGCTTCTCGCCCTCGACCAGCCCGCTCGCTCTGCGCGCCGACATCGAGCGCTTGCTCGACGCGTCGTCGGCCGCCCAAGACGCAGAGTAGCGGCACCGGCAGCGGCTGCGACCGTGGTAGGAGTATTCGGGAGAGGCTCGGGAAATGACGGGTGGCGCCGCAAAGCCTCCCCTCGCGGGACAGCTGGCGCCGCCCCGAACTCTCCGAGCCCTCACACGAGACGATCCTCCCCGGCGGCCCTGGGGCAATCATATCTGTTTATTATTCTGCCAGCACTGCGTGTCGAGAGAGAGCGCAATGGGGCTGTTTTCAGTACACTGGTCTCGGAAAATTCGAATATCAAATAAATAAATAAACAAAGAGTCGTAGAAAATCCAAAATCCAAATCGCAAACATAGAAACCCAAACACACACAGCCACGTTGCATAGGAGAGAGCAGGAGGTGAAAGGAAGTCAAAAAAAAACGGACACCTCTACTCACTACTGTGAGATGGGTAAAAAGGAACAGGTCCCCGCCATTGCGATCTTTGTGCAGGGTTCTTTGTGGTCGGAGACTAGCCGGGGTCGTCCTCCCGATGGGGGACTAGCACTAGCCGTCTTCCACATTTTGGTCCCTCGCGGGTCCCTGCTGCTCCTAATCTCTTCGTACATCCTCCTGCTGATCTCCCTTCTCCGCAACGTCCTGCTCCCTCCCTCGTCTCGCCCTGCACGACTGCTCCGCCTCACCGTCGTCTCTCTGCCCTGCGTCATCTGGTGACGGGTCCTCCATAGTCGGTTGAGGTCGCCGCCCTCCTCGTGCCTCTTCCCAACGTTCCCTCGGCGGCCGATGCCGTCTGGTCCGACTCCGCCGTCCCCGGGTCTGCCCTGCCCTCGTCTGCACTAGCAAAATTCGAATATCAAATATATGCACCTAATTTATTAAATAATCACTGTCACAATACCTCGAGGTACACAATTACACATATAAGCGAGAGACGCGCTCGGTCTCGGCCGGCGCCGACGCCCCCGGCCCGCCGAGGGGTTGGAGGGGACACGTCACACGCCCTCTGTGAGCCCCCTCTCTCTCCGCGCTCTCTCCCTCGCTCTCTCCACACCATGCTGAGACTCCACACAGTCGACACACACACTCTCTACTCTCTCCTGTCTCTCTCTATCCGGTGCGACCACTCTCTCTCCGGCGCGACTCTCTCTCTCTCTCTCCCTCTCCCTCTCCCTCTCTCCCTCTCTCAAAGCTCTGTCTGTCGCCCCCCCCCCCCCCCCCCGGGGGGGCACAGCGGCGGTGCGGGCAGCGAGGCCAGCGGGCACTGAGGGAGGGTGTAGAGGATGTAGAGTGTAAAGCGCTGTAGAGCTGTAGAGCTGTAGAGCTGTAGAGCGCTCTGGAGCGCTGTAGAGCTGTAGAGCTCTACATCGGGCGCGGGACGAACTGCGTGCGTTGTAGAGCGATGTAGAGCGCGATTTTGCTGTAGAGTTTGTTGTAGAGGCTCTACAGCCAAACCGCCGGGAAGGCAGTGACTCAAAGAGGTCGAGTCGCACTAATGGGGTGTCTCCGAGCTTACTGGAGCTCTGATGGACGGCCCTGACTATCCCTGACACACAGAGAGTCACTCTGACGGCACACAACACCCTACAACTGCGTCATGACCAGCCTGCCGTGCGTCGCCGGTGGCGCATTCGTCGCTGTGCTTCTTTAGCAGGCGGTGGACTGTCGGCTGCGAGGACGGTCGCATTTGCGCGAGGCGAGGCGAGCATTTAGACGCGTTGCATGCGCCATGACTCGCGCCAGCGCGTGCGGGAGCTCCTGGCTGAGCGTTGAGTCCAAGCGAGTTGCGCTGGCCACGATCGCTACGCCGAGCCGAGCTGACGCGCCGAGGCGCCGGCCAGTCGCAGCCGCGAGGCATGCCACAGCAGCAGAGGCACCTGCCACCCATTGGGCGGGCAGACAGAAGGCCAGGGCAGCACTGGCAAGTGCAACGCGCCTCATGTCGGAGAGCGACCGTGCCTCGTTCGCCGCTTATGATGTAGAGTTTGTTGTAGAGATTTCACGTTGTAGAGCGCCTCTACATCGCTCTACAACGGAGGCAGTTCGTCACGCGGTGGATGTAGAGCTCTACAGCTCTACATTGCTCTATAGCGCTCCAGAGCGCTCTACATCTCTACAGCTCTACAGCGCTCTACACTCTACATCCTCTACACCCTCCCTCAGAGCGGGCAGCGGCACCGGAGAAGTATGTACCTGTGTGTTTGTTGTAACTTTCCTTGAAACAAGACGCCGTCTTTGGAAAAAAAACATAGCGGCCTCGTCTCCCAATACACATATATACGCTGGCTACAAGTTTCTCCGAGACCTCGGGAGCGGGCAGTTATTCTTCAGTTATTCACAGTAGTAGGGTGATAAGTAAGAAACAAGAAAGAACCTCGCATGCGACGACAGTGAGGGTGTGAGAGACAGACCCAGGGAAGGTCTTTCACTACCTTACAGCCCCTGCCTGAGCTCACACCTCGGCAGTGTGGGCAGCGCAGTGTGGATTTCACTAAGTCATGCCCCAGCTGAGTACCCTGGCGAGCGAGCGGCGCCTTTGGCCCAGCCGGAGCCGACCCTCGGGCAGATTCCTGCCCGCTGCCGCCAGACATCGCGAGCAGCGGCTCACGCCGTGCGAGCTGCAACCGCGGCAGTGATGCACTGTGGATGCCGCAAGCCGGAAAGGCGTGTGCGCCCGACGAAAGCAGGACCACTCAAGTGGATTTTATGAAACGCTACATGGACGATGTGATTACGATAACTGCAAAGGACGATAGTGTGTGGGATGTCGACCGCTTTCGGGAGGACTTCCGCCGTTCTGAATGCTCCTGGGCTCCTTTGAAGCTAGAGGCAGCAGAGAGCGCCCATTTCTTGGAAACGACTCTCGAGCTCGACCCAAGCGGAAGCTTCCGGACGAGACTCAAGAACGTGAACGAGGAGTGCGAGGCGGTACCCCGGGTGTGGCGCTACCATCGTTGGGATAGCTTCACATGCGCGAAAATGAAGGAGGGAATCGTTGTTGGATGACTGCTCAAGGTTGTCGCAATGGCGAGCGATGACGAGGGATTCACGCTCAGCGTGACGAGCAAGCTCAGGGAGTTTACGGCGCTCGGATACCCCTCACACGTGCTTAATGGGGCTATCGGGCGCGCGTTTGCCCGGACAAGAGACGAGCGGCTCCTTCGGGCCAGACTATGTTCACAACGGTGGGAGGCCAACCTCTAGCCATGTGAACCAAAAAGAAAAAATATATTCTCAAAGCCAGTCAGAGCACCGTCCAAAGGCGGGTGCTGTCGACTAAGGGACAATCTTGTCTGTCGGCAGCCGAACTTGTGATGGCAGATGGGACACCCTGGAATCCAACTGCGTACTACTTGGCTAGCACGCTATTGGCATACCGACGGCTAAGGCCGAAATCGGTTCACACCTGCTCTTGCAGGTGTGAACACAAAGGATTCGCTGTATCTACTCAGCTGCTCCGCTTACACTTACCTGTAGGTAGGTAGGTAGAAAGGTGAAGAACAGCCAGGCTCGGACTGGACACCAACGCGGTATGGGTGGACGCTGGACAGATGATGACGACACGCACGAGCGACACACAGACACAAACAAGCTCACAAGACACACAGCCAGCGGGCTGCCACACACCCTGAGTCGGCTTACACATAACTCAAGGCCATATCCTCCCTGTCGCCCCCCCCAGCACTCCACGGTGCCAAGAGAACAAACAAGGGCACAACGACACAACAGACGACAGGAAGTGACATGCGAGGCTAGAGCAGGCTTGCTCTACCTCCAGCAATCTCTCCGGCCGGCGAGGCACGGACGAGACCGTGTGTGGGGTCTAGTGAGGTGTCTATGGACGCCCTCCTCAGAGGCTAGCTGCCTGCGGCTAGCCCTAATCTCGCACTCACAGGCGATGACAATCCAATGTATGAGTGTATGCAAGCAGAGGCGCGTGTGCTAATTCTAGGCCGCACGTCGTGGCACTATGACGGAGGTAGACGTGCGACCGCAGCGCGCCCACCACAGTCTCGGTGGTGCGCGCGTGTTAGCGATAGAGTTGCGGGGAGAGCCATGCCCGACTTTTCGAAGGCGAGCCCCACGCCACGGATGCCAGCCGTGCCTTCGCGGGAGTCGTCTCACGAGCCGCGCCCCGTCGGCACTGTCCCCAAGTAGCCCCGCCTTGGCGGCACACACTCTCGACCAGGACAGTCCGGCCTCCGGGAACGTGTCGCGCGCCGGCGACGATTGCGGCGTGGTCGTTTTGAAGCGAAGATGGCACGACCACCGCCCTGCTTCGCAGACCGGGCAAGGAGGGGGCTGCTCCCGTTCCGCGAGGAACAGGAGGTCTCCCCCCCTCCCCCGGCCTGAGCAGCGACGTGTGGAAGGCAGCCCCTTGAGTCGAGGGCGGCGCGACCATTGCCCTGCCTCAAAGGCCGGAGGCCTGATCAGAGCAGATGTTCGCGCCGGCCCGCTCCGCGCCGCCCGCCGATGCGCCGCGCCGCCGCCTCGCGCAGCCGCCGCGCCGCGCCCCGCCCGATGATTACCTGTTGGAGGTATTTTCTTCTCAATAACAAGGCTGTGAAGTGTGTCGATCCGCGAACGATATCGGTGTCGAAACACGCTCCGACAGCGCTCACAGCTGCACACACGGGGCAGGTTGTGCCGGCATGTTTTCCAGCGGCAGCGAGTCTGCGCCCTTCCGCTGGCGGCCCGCGCAGCCTCCAGCAGAGGCGGGATCCACCGTGATACAGCCGCAGCGCCCACAAGCACCACCGCCGTTGGCGCCTGTCACAGAGCGGCAGCCCCTGGTGCCGCTGCGAGGCTTTGGCAAGCGCAACGCTTCAGGGATGTTTGCTGCCTACCTCCCGCCGCCGCCACCTGCTCTGCGGGCTGGACAGCCTGTCGCCGGTGATGCGAGTCGGCCGGCGATGCCGCCCCTCTTCGACTTTGGCGACGACGAATTGCCGGTCGACGACCCGACCTTCATGGAAGAGATCGCGCGCATCGAGCGAGGACATGCTCAACAAGTGGGCGCCGGCGACAGCGGCCCTCTGCCGCCGCTTCGGCGGCGCCTTGCCTTCGAAGCGAAGCGCGCGCAGGCAGGCGCCTCTTCGCTGGACCCGATTCCGCCTGCGCCGCTTGCCCGCCAGCACGGCGCAGTCCGGTCGCCCTTTGGGCGGCCGCAACTACCGCAGGCGGCTGCCGAGGCCTCAGTCGCTCCAGCGCCGTGCGGCCCCGCCTCTGGATCGAGCTGGGAGTTTGCTCCAGCGACGCTCTTCAGTCTTGCCGATCCGCCTCCTCCGACCCTCCCCCCGCCAGCGCGAGCAGCTCCCACTGCAGCGCGAGGCCACGCTCCCACTGCAGCGGCCGGGCCTCTCGGCGAAGCGGGCGAGCGCGGATCCGACTACTCCGACCTGGTTGAGTCGTGGCTCGACGAGAAGCTGCGGCCGCACCAGCGGGAAGGCGTCCGATTTCTTCTCAAGGCGCTCGTCGATGGCAACTCGCCGCTGGGGGCGCCGAGCGGAACGGCTGGCGCCTGCTTTGGTGCGATCCTCGCGGACTTCATGGGCTTGGGCAAAACGCTCACATCGCTGGCAACGATTCACGCCATGCTGCGTGGCGGCTACCTCGGCGGGCCGCGCGGACACCGCCGCAAGGCGCTGCTCCTGGCGCCGCCGAGTTTGCTCGGGCAGTGGAGTGGCGAGATTACCAAGTTCTTCGGCGGGCGCTTGCCTCACGCGTTGGCGGTCGCCAGCCAAGGGGGGCGCAAGGCGATACACGCCCTGCAGGACTTCAAGCACTCGGGAAAGCATCTGCTGCTCACGTCGTACGATTTCGCGATACGGCCAGAGGCCATGGCGGAGTTGTCGTCGATGTCGATCGAGCTGCTCGTGTGCGACGAGGGCCAGCGGCTGAAGAACCACAAGGCCAAAACGTTCACGCTACTGCACGCGCTCGCATGCAAGCGGCGCCTGGTGCTTACTGGCACTCCGCTGCAGAATGACTTGTGGGAGGCCGAGATGTAGCCGAGATGTAGCCGAGATGGTAGCCGAGATGTAGCCGAGGTATAGGATCGCTGCCCGCGTCCCTGCACCGTGCTCCTCGTGCACGCCCGAGCCCCGACCCCCTCTCCCCCCACGCCCCGCCGCGCAGTTCTTTTCCCTGCTGACCTTCGTCGGTGCCGGCCCCTTTGTGGGCTCCCGGGCGAGCTTCGCCTCCACCTTCGTCAAGCCCATCGCGCGCGCGCAGGATGGGGCGTCAGACGGGAGGGAGGCCAGCCGGGCCGACAAGGAGTTTGCCGCAGCCAAGCTGCTCGAGCTCTCTCGCCGGCTCGAGACAGTGATGCTCCGGCGCGGCGCAGAGATCAACGAGAAGTCGCTGCCTCCCCTCGTCTCGCTGGTGATTGTCGTGCGGCTGACGCCGCTGCAAACCGCACTCTACTCCTTCTTTCTCGAGAGCCGCCGCGAAACGCTCCGAGCCGGCTGCGGGAGCAGCAGGTCTCGATCTGACGCCGCGTTCGCCGCCATTGCCCAGCTGCAAAAGGTCTGCGCGCACCCCTTCAGCGTCTTCTTCGACCACAACGACCTGGTTGCACGCCGGCGAGCCGAGACGGCTGCTCGGCGGCCGGAGGCGAGCGCAAGCTCGGCCAGCTGCCCGTTGGGCGTCGACGGCCTCAACTCGTGGTCAGACGACGACGATGACGAAGCCGGCGGCAGCAGCGACGATGCGAGCGGCGGTGTCGTCTGGCCAGACGGCTTCGATCCGCAAAACAGCGCCGGCCTGTGGGCGTGGTCGGGCAAGCTCCTGGTGCTCCGCGAGCTGCTGCGCTCTTTCCGCGCGCACGGAGACAAGGTGGTGATCGCGTCGAATTTCACATCCATGCTGGACCTTCTCGACGACATGTGCATGCAGCTGCGCTGGCCGGCGGCGCGGCTCGATGGGAAGGTGCCGGCGGCCCAACGCACCGCCATGGTCGACGACTTCAACCGCCCCAACAGCGGGAGCTTCGTGTTCCTGCTCTCAACCAAGGCTGGCGGCACGGGGCTCAACCTCGTCGGCGCCTCGCGCCTCGTCATCATGGAGCCGAGCTGGAACCCGGCCCTCGACAAGCAGGTCTGCGGGAGGGTGTGGCGGACGGGCCAGACCGCTTCGTCGGTCCACACGTACCGCATCGTATCGGCGCTGACGCTCGAGGAGCGGATGTACGCGCAGCAGCTTCGCAAGACGGAGGTGGAGGCGGGCATCCTCGACAAGCGCCGGAGCGACCCCTCGGCCGGACAGGGCCGCGCCATCGGCGAGCACCACATCGACGGCCTTTTCCAGCCCTTCGCGTCCGTTTGGAGCGACGTCTTCGAGCAGCTGGGCGACGCGCAGACGCGGACCGTCGAGCACCTGCCGCACGCGCTCCTCGAGGGCGCGGCCGGCCTCGACGGCGGGCGCTGGATCTCGCACATCCATACCATGCCGCCTCCCGCCACCACGGGGTGAGTGAGAGAGGCAGAGAGAGCTCGCAAGAGAGGCAGAGAGCTCGCACCCCATGTGGGGTGCTGCCCCCCCCCCCCCCCCACCTCCCCCCCGCGCGCGCTCGCGCTGCGCAGCGCAGGCCGCAGCTGCGAAACATGATACGTGAACTGATGTGTGGAGTGGATGGATCGATCTGTAGATAGCCCCTCTGCACCTGTGTGTGTTGATATTGTACTGTTAAGCTGTGAGAACAATAGTTTCTTCAGCAACCCAAAATAAATGATCGCCCTTCGGGCACCATCTCAGTTCTCACGCGCCCCTATTGCCTATACCGGCGCGGTACCGGGCACCCCAACACTCCCACACGCCGAGCCACGCACGGCCGGCCCCTCTCAACTCTCATGCCCTTCTCCACGCACGCCGCGGACGGTAAAAATCCCCGCACAGCGATGCAGCCCGCACTCCGCGACAGTCGCCTGCCTCACGTCGAGCCCGCGCCTGTGCCGCACGCAGCTTGTGCGCACTGTATTATCCTCGGTATTTCTTTTTTGTTGCCACAAAAATAAAACAAAAAACTTTAAAACAAAAACTTCGCCGCCTCCTCGAGCAACGCCCCGAAGCGCCCATCACCAGGGGGCAAGTGTGTGTAGCACCTTCGACCCGCCCATCTCTCTCTCTCCGAAAAAGAAAGGAGATTTTTTGCCGAAATTCTTTTGGAAACCGTTCAATGCCAGCCACCAGGGGGCAAGTGTGTGTAGCACCTTCGACCCCGAAATGAAGGTCACCACACCAAACCGGGCGCTAGGAGAGGTGAACTGAAGGCTGAGACAACGGAGGCTGAGCCTGAGTGGGCGCCCGCGCGCCCCCACACAAGCACGCCTCTGTCCTTCGGCCCACTCCGTCGATCGTCCGGGGGTGACCGTGCATAGCCATAGCGCCACCAAACACCAACACCGAATTAATGCCCACACCGCCCGACCCCCCTCTAGGGATAGCAGTGCGCATCCCTTCCCGGAGAGGTAGGAGGGGGGGGGGAGGGGGGGGGAGATCAGAGAGCCAAGAGCCCAAGACAGGGAGTACCCCCGACGGACGCGAGTCGGAGGGAAAGCGAGACGAGAGATTCAAGGCGAACTTCATCGCCCGTCCAGGAGCCCCGCGATATTAGCAACCCCTGGTGCAGTCGGTCTTCGGATCAGCGGCCAGCTTCCCACTTAGGGGTTAGGGCAGGGAACCCCCAGCGACGCTAGTGTGGCCTACGGTAGCCTCAGCTTGTACGCGATTCCAGGGCAGGGGGGAGAGGCGCGCCGCGCCAAGGGGGACAAGCGACGGGAGGGGGAGAGTCGTGTCTTTCGCAGAGTAAACAGCAAAAAAATTGAGATTGTACTGTTCACTAATTTGAATCAATGCATACGGCATACGCCTAGTTTGGCCTCAAATCACCCGAGAGTCCCAACCGCGTCCCGCTCCCGGGGACCACCCGCCGGGGGTGCTCTCTGACCTCTCTGGTCATGTGCGCTACAAAACCTCCCGCCGCTGAGATGGGATGGGATGGGATGGGATCTCGGTCAACGGGGTGGAGGGCGGGGTCCCGGAGGAAGGAGATGCTGGTGTGTGTGCCGTGTGCTAGTTAGTGATCTCAGGCCCAGTGAGGTAGTGCACGAGACTCTATCCTGGATCCTGCTGAACAACCTCCTCTTGTAGCTCGATCGGTCACACCGCCATCACCGCCGACGTCTCCCAGTGAGACGATGGAGAGGGGGGACGACACTGCTTCAGCAGCGTGCACCTCGATCCTGTACCGTGTTTGTTATGACCCCCCCCCAATGAACACACCAGTGAGGGAGGGCGAGACGATCGAGGGGTCCCGTACCATGCGGAATCGACCCTCTCCAGTGCTCAAGTGCTCAAGTTAGTTAGGAAGGGGAAGAACAGCCACAGCCAGGCTCGGACTGGCACCGCCAGCGCGGGCGGCGTACGGGCGGGCGGGCGGGTATTGATTGGGTGCGGGTGGACGCAAGACAGGAGATGACGGCACCCTGGAGCGACAGAGACACACAAACTCACGAGACACTCAGCCCCGCCAGGTAGCTGGGGGCGAGGGAGGGAAAAGAAATATATACTCGAAGGCGCTCTCAAAAAAGAAATGCACCGCGACGCCCCGGCGACGCGACGAATGTCACTCGCTCTGGACGCGCCTCCCACATTCTGGGCGGCGACGCTCGACTCTGACGCCTACGCCACGCAGCGCCTGCCACGCGGCTCCGTGCTTGTTCTCACCTCCGCCTCCACAACCGGCGAGAGCGCCTCGCTCTGGGTGTCGTCGGGAAGTGACAGCGGAGGGAGCGGCTTCCTCCTTGGAACCCTCTCCGCCGACGGCGTGTCGCACATGGAGCTGCAGCAGCCATTTGCTGGCGACGTGACTTTCTTCCGACGCGGGGCTGGAGCCATCCAGATTGTGGGCCACCTGCGCGGCGAGGCTCCGCCACTCGAGTCATCGTCTGCAAAGGGTGCGAGCCACGGCGAGGCGGCCGACGAGGAGAGAGAGGTGAGCGGCCCGGAGGACGGCTCGGAGGACGGCTCGGAGGTCGGCGAGGAGATGACACCCGAAGAGGTGCGGCGGGAACTGATGAGCCGAGGGATCACTGAGCTCCGCGATACGTGCAACGAGATGGAGCTCAGCGCAGAGGGACCCAAATCGGCGCTGGTGTCGCGCATCATCGACGCGCTCCTCGAGGACGAGAGCGAGGACGGCGAGGAGAAGGAGGAGGAGGAGGGCGAGGAGGAGGAGGAGGAGGAGGAGGAGGAGGAGGAGGGCGAGGAGGAGGAGGACAGCGACGACGACAGCGAGGAGGGGGAGGAGGAGGAGGAGGAGGAGGCGGCGGCGGCGGCGGCGGCGGCGGCGGCGGCGGCGGCGGCGGCGAAGCCTGCGGCCTCCAAGCGAGCGGCGCCTCCCGCCGCCGCGCCGGCGCCGGCAGCGAAGAAGGCCAAGCCAATGGAGGAGGCCAAGCCAGAGCCCAGCGCTGAGCCGGCCGCCTTTGCTGCCGCCAAGCGCTTCTCGGGTGCGAGGCGCGGCTGCGTCTTCAAGAAGGGGCCGCAGGGCCTCGGCTACTACCGCGATGAGCCGCCTCGCCCCACGACTGCACCACGCGGCGCGGCGGCGGCTGCCCCCGCGGCGGGGGGCTGGCGCAAGCTGGGCGCGGGCATTGAGTGCTTGGAGCTCTCCAAGGCGGCGCTGTCGGGACCGGGCGCCTCCAAAGGCGCCAAAGTCCGGGTGAAGTATGCAGGCACCCTCACCACCGGCCGCCAGTTCGACGCGGGCCAGATCTCTTTCAAGCTCGGCTCTGGAGAGGTGCCCCTGCCGGCCCGGGTCCCTCTGCCCACGCCCGCTGCTCCACCCCACGTCGCCCCTCCCGCCACGCCGACAGGTGATCAAGGGCTGGGACTTCGGCATCGAGGGTATGAAGGTTGGCCAGCGCCGCCGGCTGAAGATTGCGCCACAGCTCGGGTATGGCGCTCGCGGCGCGCCGCCCGACATCCCGCCGAACGCCACGCTCCTCTTCGAGGTCGAGCTGCTCTCGCTGGGCGGCGGCAAGGGCGGCGGCAAGGGCGGCGGCAAGGGCGGCGGCAAGGGCGGCGGCAAGGGCGGCGGCAAGGGGCACGGGCGGCGTCGGTGAGCCGGGGACGTTGGACAGATTGCCAGGAACGGTATTGTGAAGGGTCGGGCAATGTGGCAGGACTAGCTGTTGGGTCTCGATCGTGTCAGCAGTCAGGTCGTCCCCAGGCATGCAGAAAAATAAGTGAAGGAAGGAAGTCCGGGATATGTGCGGGTGGAGTCGTGGAGACGAGAGGAGAGGCCCGCGCGCCACGCCAACGGGGGCCAACACGTTGGGCCAGGTACCAATTTTGTCGAATTTATCCTCAAAATCTGCAGGCGCAGAGCGCCTGCGAAAATTTTGAAGAAATTTGCAGTCGGGCCTGATTTTTATCAAGATCTTTCAAATTTGCGGTGTGGAGTTGGGGGGTGGGGTTATAGCTATAGGTTAGGGTTATTAGGATTAGAGGGTTAGGGTTAGGTAGGGTTAGGGTTAGGGTCAGGGTTAGGGTCAGGGTTAGTCTTGTTGTGTCTGTATATGCCAGCGTTGCAGGGTTCTGCGCTGGGATCTGGCCCCAACGCCGACGAGTTAGACTCAGCACCGCACGCTGACCTAGGGTTAGGGTTAGGGTTAGGGTTAGTCTTCTTGTGTTTGTATGCCAGCGTTGCAGAGTTCTGCGCTGGGATCTGGCCCCAACGCCGACGAGTTAGACTCAGCACCGCACACTGACCCCACCAAATGCCGCCTCAGGGCGCCAGGCCGCCAGCCACCTCTTACACGCGGCCGGCGCCCTCTCGCGGCAAAAGGGTCGAGCGAGCGGGCAGAGTCGCGATGTCTGCGCACCCGCGTGCCGATGGGCGCACGCAACCGAGAGAGGCCCTGTCGCGCCGCCAGTAGCGTTCCGCACTCCCCACGCCACCAAATGCCGCCTCAGGGCGCCAGCCACCTCTTACACGCGGCTGGCGCTCTCGGACGCGGCAAAAGGGTCGAGCGAGCGGGCAGAGTCGCGATGTCTGCGCACCCGCGTGCCGATGGGCGGCACACGCAACCGAGAGAGGCCCTGTCGCGCCGCCAGTAGAGCGTTCTCCGCACTCCCCACGCCACCAATTGCCGCCTCAGGGCGCCAGCCACCTCTTACACGCGGCCGGCGCCCTCTCGCGGCAAAAGGGTCGAGCGAGCGGGCAGAGTCGCGATGTCTGCGCACCCGCGTGCCGATGGGCGGCACACGCAACCGAGAGAGGCCCTGTCGCGCCGCCAGTAGCGTTCCGCACTCCCCACGCCACCAGATGCCGCCTCAGGGCGCCAGCCACCTCTTACACGCGGCCGGCGCCCTCTCGCGGCAAAAGGGTCGAGCGAAAGGCAGAGTCGCGATGTCTGCGCACCCGCGTGCCGATGGGCAGCAACCGAGAGAGGCCCTGTCGCGCCGCCAGTAGCGTTTTCTCCGCACTCCCCACGCCACCAATTGCCGCCTCACAGGGCGCCAGCCACCTCTTACACGCGGCCGGCGCCCTCTCGCGGCAAAAGGGTCGAGCGAGCGGGCAGAGTCGCGATGTCTGCGCACCCGCGTGCCGATGGGCGGCACACGCAACCGAGAGAGGCCCTGTCGCGCCGCCAGTAGCGTTCTCCGCACTCCCCACGCCACCAATTGCCGCCTCAGGGCGCCAGCCACCTCTTACACGCGGCCGGCGCCCTCTCGGACGCGGCAAAAGGGTCGAGCGAGCGGGCAGAGTCGCGATGTCCCTGCGCACCTGGGTGTTCGCCGCCTCTATCCTTGTGTCAGTAGGCGTCGCAATCAGTCGCAATTTTTTTCTCGTATGCTTGCCGAGGTGCAGTCGAGCTCTACCGGTGTGGGATGTGGTGTAGGGGTTGTAGAGACCACACACTCCAAGCTAGAAGCGATAATACGCACTACTTCGGTCTGCACAGCATCTTCCCCCACCGCTCACCCAACCAGCAGAGACCGGCCCTCCGGGCAAGCATGCTTGTGGTGCGCTGGTGCGTGTGGCAGCCTTCGCAGAGCCACACCGCGGCCTTCTGGCGCTGCGTGCATTCCCGGTAAGACTTGCGGCTAAATAACACCGCCCCGTCCGGCTTGACATGGTCCCACCCGTCGCGTCGGGCATCTTGTCGGCCGTCGGCACGGCATCCGGCGCGTCGTCACCACGCAGCCCGTCTGGTTCACCGGGCCTGAGTGCACAGTATCGAGCCAGCCAAGCTCCACCGCTAGCGCCTGGCAGGAAGCGCACTTCCCGCCGCCCGTATAGTACCCAACATGCCGGCCATGGAGCCGTCGAGGCTTAGGCAGTGATGTCGGCTCCATCCAGCAGACGGGCCGCGAGGGGTGTGCAAGTCCCAGAACGGTGCGCGCCGTGGAGGGCGCGGAAGAGCAATTGACATCGATTGTCGGACTTTGGGGTTGCAGTACGGACTCCGTACTACAACTCTCTAGTCGGATGAACGGTGTCAGACGCTCCTGCGCGCCCCCCACGGTGCCTGACGTGCGCCTTGGCTCGTGCAGCAGACGGGGCGCGAGTCGGCAAAACGCAGTAATCTCGCTGAGTCTCACCGCCCCAGGCTCTAGAGGTGGAAATACCGACCTTCCTGGCACGGCATGACATGCCCCTACTGGCATGCCAAGCAAGGGCTCGCGGGTCGAGGTTGTTCTCGCGCCACACCACCCTGCCACCGTTGCCACCGAAGGCAACACGGTGCTCCGAAACGGCCACTTAAGAAGCGCCTTTTGCGGCTATTGCTCAAAACTTCGGGAGAGAAGGCCTACATATTATGACTTCATCCATGCGCCTGGTGTATGCGGGCTGTGGAACAGGACATATCACGGTCGGTGGCGCCGATAATGACCTCCGGAAATCCTCGCAATCGGCTCGGATGGGGTCCACCGGGCGGGACCAATCTCGAGCCCTCTCCGTAGCATCACGAGCCGGTGTGTAGTGAGCTTGAAGACCCGAGATAAGTGCGGTCTGGACAGCTCAGGCTTGCTACTGATGGGCCTTGGGCCAGGAGAGCAACAGAGAAGGCGAGCTCGTGAGCTGAGAGGCTGGAGAGTCCGCGTGTGACCTTGTCGCGAAGCAGGTGCCACGAAGCGCTATTTCCTGCTCTCAGCTTACCACCTCGCCTTCTCTGTCGCTCTTCTGGCCCAGGCCTACCAGGAGCAGGTCTGAAGTGTGCCAGACCGCACGAATATTGGGTCTTCAGGCTCATACCGGCTCGTGATGCCACGGAGAGGGCTCGAGATTGTCTCCGGTGGACCCCATCCGAGGCGATTGCGAGGATTTCCGGAGGTCATTACCGGCGCCAACGACCGTGATATGTCCTGTTTCGCAGCCCTCATGTACCAGGTGCATGGATTCAGTCATAATATGTAGGCCTTCTCTCCCGAGGTTTTGAGCACTAGCCGCAAACGGCGCTTCTTGGCACTTCAATTCATCTTCATCGCGACACGTCCAGGTGCCGACAAAGCGGCTTCCCATCTCACCACCTCGCCTTCCCTGCCGCTCTCCTGGCCAAGGCCCATCAGTATCAAGCCTGAGCTGTTCCAGACCGTCCTTATTTTGGATGATGAAGCCCACTCTTGGCCCTGGTAGCCGCTGGCTCGCCACTGCACTCGGCTCCTCTGAAGGTGTCTCGCGCTCTCGCCACGACAGCACGCCGACGGCAAGCTTTGACGTCCACCTGGTCGACCTGCTGTGGACACAGCCGCCCCTCACATGCAGCTCGTACCATGACTCGACACCGGGCCCGCTCAGCTTGGTCGTGGCGGCGTGTGTGAAGGATGCGCGGCCGAGCCGCTGGCTGGCGCCGCTTGAACGTCCGAGATGGCCACAGCACAGGCGGCACGCGCTGTCACGCCTGGCGTGCGCGGCCGCGGTGGGTAGGCTCGATGTCGAGGCACGCTTGGCGCTCGAGAGGAGCGGCTCCGGGCTCGGCATCGGCGGGTGTGGCGAGCTCGCGCCGCAGTCAGCTCGGCGTGGACGTGTCCTGGTGATTCACGGCTATTCTGTGCCAAGTCCCAAGACGGACACGCTTTGACAATCAAAAATTGTCGGCGTATACACGCCGGCCAGGAGCGGGAGCGCCAGAGAGAAGCCAAAAAGCATGACAAGCAAAGGATCTCTCTAACGCCGCGGTCAAAGGAGACCGACGGACCTTGAATTTCGGCGGCGTCGAAATTCACACAAGACTGTGAACACACCCACAGGACGCCGAGTACAAGACAATACGAAAGGAGTATACTCAGGCAGTCAGGGACGGGTGAGTTCAAGAACATATTAAGAGCACCTAAAGGAGCAAGGCATAGCTGTGAAGTGGTTTCCACTGACAAAAATCTACCTCAAAATTTGCGGCCGCCCCTCGAAATTTGCTGATCAAAATTTGCGGTGGCCCGGATCGAAACCTGTACTTTGGCCAACCAACACGGAGCTCCAAGGTCCAGCGGGTCCCCACTGCCCACACCGCGGACACGAGAAGCCATGGCGGCGGCAATGGGATTGCCTGTTGCAAGAGCCGAGGAAGTCATCCGGAACGTAGCACGCGGAGCGCACGAGAGCGGAAACTTCGCAGCAGGTGTCGTAACCACGGCGCAGGGAGGGGTGCCCTCGGTCGGGCCGACAGACCCAACGTAAAGGAAATTAGCGAAGTTTGGTTTTTGTTGCGAGCTGAGATGGCAGGGCTGGGTGGGCGGTAAGCCGTCATTGCCCGGCGCTGCTTGCAGCGCTCTGGGTGGTAGTGGCGGCGCTCCAAGAGTGGTGCTCTTGGGAAGAGGTTCCTCCTTTCCGCTCCCCCCCCGCAAGGCGCGAGACACACAGGAACGGCAACTGGGGTCCGTTCTGACTAAGCTCTAAGTTTACTAGTGCATGTGCATGCACATGCACATGTACATGCAACACGTTCTGGCCCTCGCCATTCTGATCATTCCTGGAACACCCTCGGACCGACCCAGGTGGCCGGCCGGGTAAAACCCGGGCGGGATACCCGAGAATTCTCAGGTATACCCGAAAAACCGGAGCGCACACCCAGGGTACCCTCTCCGAGGCCCCACAGGTGGCTCTTTCGAGGACTCGCCAGGCTCTGCTCCAAGAGACCAAGAGAGAGCGCGCGTCAAGGAGGGCAACGCGCGATGTGTTGTGGCGCCAGGGTGTGGTGGCAACGACGACGGCGCGCGCGCGCCTCCACTCGCCAGGCCTCTGGGGCTGGACCCACAAAGGACCGGTCCCGGTTCCAGGCGCCAGGCTTGAGAGTGTTTGCTGTTTGTGCGCGCTCTGCAACGAAAAAACATCATGTTAGCCAAGTTTCAGGCGTATTTTAGCAGCGAGGCAACGGCGCTCGAGAAGTCGGCGTACGCCGTCATCGGCAGCGCCATGCTGATGTTCAGCACGTTTGCGCTCGTGGGACCCCGCTGGCTGCCTGCGTGCGACTTGACCCAGCGGGCAGAGCTGTTTCCGAACGCGCATTACGGCGCTGATCGCAGCCCGTGCTGGTACCGGCGATATGCGCAGCTCGGCGGGCTGAGCAGCTTCGAGGCGGACATGTGCCGGCGGCTGCTATTTGCGCTCCTGTGCGGCACACTCCTCGGCACCGAGCGGTCAACCTCCAGTACGCCAGCGCCGGTCAAGTCGATGTGCATGGTGACACTCGGCGCCTGCATATGCACCATCTGCTCTATGTTCAGCGAGCTGAATGGCCCCCTCTCCTTCGACGCAGCCCGTGCCACCGCGCAGATCCCAAAGGGGGTGCGGCCCTAGCAGCAGCCGCGCAGTTAGGAGCCCCCAACCGGGCCTAGCGGCCCTCCCCAGGGGGCCTGCGGGAGCTCGAGCCGCTCTTCCCGCGGGCAGGTCGGCTTCATCTGCAGCGCAGTCCTCTGGCGGTCTGGAGGCGGCTACACGAACGCCGTCCTCAAGGGGACAGTCTCGTCAACCTCCTTCTGGGCAGGCGCCGCCGTCCGGGAGACAACTCGGCTGCACCTCGCTCAGAACCTCCGTCGGATCTCGGCCGCACCTCGGCTGCACCTCGCCACCCTCCCTCGTGCGCAGGCGCCGCCATCGGCGCCATGGCGGGCGGAGGCATGTGTGTGCCGCCCTAGCCGCCGATGCGCCTGTGCAGACCCCTCCTCGCCCCTCCTCGCCCCTCTGCGCCTCCTCGCCTCCTCAACCTCGCCTCCACCCTCCTCGCCTCCTCCGCCCCTCCCCGCAGCTACGGCCCGGCTCTCTTCGCAACCATGCTTTGCGTGACGGTGAACCAGCTCGGCAAGCGCGGTGCGTGGGCAGCCTCGCCAGCCGCCCGACACAGGGGCGCGGCCAGCACTCATCTGCCCCGCCCGCCCCGTCGCCGGCCAGGCGCCTTGCGGCCTATCGCGTCGGAGGCAAAGACCGCCCGCCTCTCAGCCCACTGCACACGCGTGTGCGCTTTCCGCACGGCGCGGTGACCAGAGACCTGCGGGGGAGGGCGGCACCCCTCGCTAGGCGGGAGATCCCGGCTCGATCTCGGCTCGATCTCGGCTCGATCTCGGCTCGATCTCGGGTAGGCGGGAGGCCTCCTCGCGCCGCTCACCGAGTCGCTGCTCGCCCCTCCCGCGGGGACACCAACCTCCCCCGGTGCTAGACCGGAGCTCGAGAGTGGCTGAAGCGAACCGAGCACGCGTCCGGGGAGGAGCTGTACAGTAGGCTGCTTGGGGCTTGGCAGAGCTCACAAGAACTATTACCCCCGGTACTGTGCACAATCATTACGGGAGCGAAGGGTGTGTGCAGTGTGGAGAGTAATGGACATCTCTGCGCTCAAGAACAGGAGATCGTTGGGGTAGAGATAGTAGATTAAGACTGGAACGCCCGGCAGGACGCTTCACCGCGAGGCGCGCGTGGCGGCACGCCGCGCGCGCAGGCCACCGAGCACGCGCTCGTGTTACCCGAGCAGGGGGCTGCTGTGCAGGCTGTGCATGCAGCCTGCACAGCAGCCCTGCCTGTTCTGAACATTCAGCCCGCATGCCTGCGCCCCTGCCGCCTCGCGCCTGACACGACGCAGATCCTGCACTGCACGAGGCGCGCGCGTGGCACGCTGCGCGCGCGGCCGCCATCCGTTCAGTCCGCTGTCCAGTCTGCCTGCACACAGCACAGAGCACATGCAAGGGACATGCACAACATGTACATGTGCACGCCGCGCAGTCCCCGCACGCCGCACAGCGATGCAGCCCGCACCCCGCGACAGTCGCCTGCCTCACGTCGAGCCCGCGCCTGCCGCACGCAGTACTGTGCGCACAGTATTATCCTCGGTATTTTTTTTGTCACAAAAAGAAAACAAAAGGACAAACGGCCGGTGCTAGTGAAATCATAATGGTCCCCCAAAAGAAAAACACACGAACCCCTATGGAGAACGCCGAGTGCCAGAACACCAGGGGGCAAGTGTGTGTAGCACCTTCGACCCCAAAATGAAGGTCGCCACACCAAACCGGGCGCTAGGAGAGGTGAACTGAAGGCTGAGACAACGGAGGCCGAGCCTGAGTGGGCGCCCGCGCGCCCCCACACAAGCAAGCCTCTGTCCTTCGGCCCACACCGGCGAATAACACGAGGATCGAATCAATGCCCTCACCACCCGACCCCCCTCTAGGGATAGTGCGCATCTCATCCCGGAGAGGGAAGGAGGGGGGGGGGGGGGGGGAGAGAGCCAAGAGCCCAAGACAGGGAGTACCCCCGACGGACGCGAGTCGGGGGGAAAGCGAGACGAGAGATTCAAGGCGAACTTCATCGCCCGTCCAGGAGCCCCGCATTAGGTAGCGACCCCAGGTTAAGAGCTAGGCTTCCCGACAGGGCAGGGAACCCCCAGCGCGCAGGCGGGGCCCACGGTAGCCTCGTGCAGTACGCGATACCGAGAGCTGGGGGAGAGGCGCGCCACGCCAAGGGGGACGAGTGACGGGAGGGGGAGAGTAGTGTCTTTCGCGGGATAAAACGCAATTTTTTTTAGATTAAGACTGGAGATCCTAGCGGATCTCTCACACGGACACGCCCAAGTCTCGCCAGTAGATCCCTCCTGTCCGGTTCCCCATTCAAGACTAAAGATCGAAGATTGAGATTGTGGATTGCAGATCGCTGAGCAGCAACACGGGCCAAAATGTGGAGATAGGAGATGGAGAATGCAGATTGTAGATCCTAGCGCCCAGCCATCCGCCCCAGATGTGAGATCGAAGATTGAAAATGGAGGTCGTAGATTGCTGCCGGCGGCGACAGTGGCCAAGTAGAAGATTGGAGATTGGAGATGAGAGGTGGTCAGGGTGTGAATGAATCCATAGCGCATCTCCTTGAAGGTTTGAGCCCCCCTCCTCCCCCGGGCCCCCGAATCGAGATTGGAGATTGGAGATGGAGATCGGAGATCTGACCGAATCCGGCCTAAGATGACGACGTTGGAGATTGGAGATTGAAGATGGAGATCGGAGATCTGACTGGATCCCCGGCCTAAGATGACGACGCTGTGGATTAGAGAGTATTGGAGATGAGGAGATCGGAGCCCACCCACCCCCTAGTGGTGTTGATAGATGTTTTATAGATTTTTGTTTTTCCCTGTGGTCTGTGCGCGGACGGCCCGGGGAGCCTTGGAGCACTTGGAGTGCAGTCATTAACCTCACATCCAGGGCCGGGGAGCCTGCGGCGCCATTTTAATCTGCGCTCCTCTTCATGGCCTGCGGCGCCTGGCTTGAGCTTGGAAGTGTAAACGAGTCCGCCAGGGCGGTCTGCAAACGGAGCGCGCTGCGCGCGCGGTCTACGGCGAACTTGTTGCCGAGTAGGCAGCGTGAACCACGATACCGCCCCCAGTTCGGCGTAGACCGCGCGCGCGCGCGCCGCAGCGCGCTCCGTGTTTGCAGACCGCCCTGGCGGACTCGTTTACACTTCCAAGCTCAAGCCAGGCGCCGCAGGCCATAAAGAGGAGCGCAGATTAAAATGGCGCCGGCCCGCAGGCTCCCCGGGCCCGTCCGCGCACAGAACCTTTATCCTTTAAAAACAAAAAAATCGATGAGACACCACTAGGGGCTGGGGGGCTCCGATCTCCATCTCTCCAGTACTCTTCAATCTCCAGCGTCGCTACATCTTAGGCCGGATCCAGTCAGATCTCCCGATCTCCATCTTCAATCTCCAATCTCCAACGTCGTCATCTTAGGCCGGATTCGGTCAGATCTCCGATCTCCATCTCCAATCTCCAATCTCCAATCTCGATTCGGGGGCCCGGGGGAGGGGGGGGGGCTCAAACCTTCAAGGAGATGCGCTATGGACTCATTCACAATGCAAAAGGATCTCCACCCTCTTTTCGCGCCATTTTGCAATCTCCAGTCGGCCCACACGATCTCTAGGCGCCTTTGGCGCAAAGTCAGAATCTCCACCTCTGTCGCAAGATCTCAAGCGACTGCACGCACCAACTCGAGATCTCAGACTCCTCTCGAGCATCTACACCGGAGAAGATTTGCCTCCACCAGTTCTTCAATCTACTGCTGCTCTTGGCAGGAGCCACTTATGAGATCTCTAAAAGGCAGCTGCGATCTACAGTCCAAGGATCTTCCGATGTTGCGCAGAGATGTCCATGTATGAGTGTGGAGAGCCTAGCGGCCGGCGCAAACGAAAGGAACTCGGGACCACCCCCGGAGAAGATCAATAAATAGAGCAGGCATCTCCGGGAGGCGGGAGAGATGAGCGACGCACGAACACAGCGGAGGCACAGGCGCGCACACACCCCGCCCGCCCGCCCCGCTCGCAGGGCGTGCATCACACAGGGACTGAGTGATTCCTCGGGTTTCTGGCGAGATCCGAGATGCGTTTCGCTTTGTAAATTCTGGTGTACCTGTGTTAGTGCCAGTGCGCGCCAGTCCCGTGCCCAGTGTAAAGAAAGAAAGAAAAAAAGGCCACAACCCAAGGGAGGGATGGAATGCACGCCGCCACCACACAGGGATTTCAAGGGTACCGGGGCCCGACGGATAGATGAATCCGGGGCACCCTCCGCTCGAATCCCTGGCTAGGGGTTCGAGGTGGCCCCCACCCTGGGGCCTCCCACATCAAAGGGACTGCGGCAGAAGACGCCCAATCTTGCACAAGTGCAAGAACCATACGTCCTCTGATAAACGCAGTATGGAAGATACAAAGAGACGGAGGAGCAACGAGCGCCCTGGCGTGAGCCAAAGACACTCCCAACTGCGCTCCGTCACCGGTGTCGCGGTCTCCCCCACTGAGGGCGATCTGCGGGGGGGAGTCGCGCCGCCGGCATGTATCTGTGCAACTGTGTTTTTGCCTTGTCCCGTTTGATGGAGCAAAGCCACGGGCCGCCCGCGCTTGAAGGCGGTCGCGCCAGGCGCGGGCGGCACTAGTTGCCGGCGATCCGCTTGGGCAGCGCCCGCGCTTGCATCTGGCTGGGTCTCCATAGGTCGCGTGGCCCGAATGCTCGAATTGAACGTCTCGCAAGCTGGCGTCGCTCGCGTAACTGTGGCAGGGCGATCCTCCCTTCGGTGGAAGGGAGATCTCTAGCCTCCTTCCTAACGAGGTTGCCCTCCGCCTGGCTGTTTGGCGACAGCGATTAACACCTCCGCAGTTGCGTGGGTCCGCGCCACAGGTAGAGACGTTGAGCTCGACAAAGTGATTTGGTAGTTGTTTCGGGCCATCAGTCCGACAGGAGAGGGCCAGCGGTCGCCTCCTCGAGCTGCCCATGCCTTCGCCGGTTTGGAGTTTCGTCGCCACCACCACCATGTGCGTCCAGGAAAAGGAGGGCTCCCCACTGAGGGCGGTCTGCGGGGGGAGCCGAGTCGCACGGAACGACCTCCTGATGGGATTGCCCCTCCCCACTTGAGGGCGATCTGCGGGAGGAAGGGCCCCACTTCTCCCCACTGAGGGCGATCTGCGGGGGGAGAGGTCCTGGATCGAACAAACCTTGCCTCCGCTCAGGACGGCTGACAAGGACGGCGACCACCGCATGGAGGCGTCCATTGATCCACTCGGGGGCTGGTCCCAAGGGCCACAGCTCAGGCCGAGCGGCCGCTGGTGCGACGACGAGGTCCTCCCGCCACGTGCTCGGCTACTCGATCGCGCACCACGGTGGTCCCGCCCACATACTCGGAGCGAGTCTCAACCTCCGCAGAGTAGTTCTGAAAAGAGTTGATCCTCAGGCAGGCCGGGAAACTCGAGCGGATAGTCTTCAGCATGTTAAGCACTTGTCGAGCGAGCAGGGCGGGATGACCGTCGCCCGCTCGCGGAGTGATGTGGCCGGCGGCGGCGGCGAGCGATGCGGCCCCCACGATGACACTCCCCATGGGATCGACGCGCGCTGCTGCCGTGAAGACGGGCCCCAGGCAGCGGGTCATGTCAGACAGGGCTGCGAATGGGACGTCGGCCGTAGGGTCGCAAAGTAAGAGCCCCGACCGTCATGTACTGCAAGAAGTCGACGGTCTTTGCCTCTGCAGATGGCACTGGTCCCAAGGGTACGATCGCCTCAGAGTACCCCAAGTCGCCCCACTGCAAAAGGAGCTCGGGCACCGGGATTTGGTGGGAATGCAGTGCCTGGACGCACACCGTCCGGAACGCATCCTCATCCACGTGCACCGTGCTGAACACGCCGAGGTCGGACAAGGCACCGAGAGGATGCGGCGCCACGCCGCGGCCAAGACGGCCAGCCGCAAGATGCTGAGTCTGTCAAAGTAGTTGGCTACAGCGGGATCGGGCTCACAGAACGGGAGAAGTCCACTGATGGCGGCCCACTACGGAATCTGGACCCACGACGGTTGCATCCCTGGAGGAGGAGGGGGCAGATTGAGGAAGGCCGGATTGCCCACCGCAGACCACGGAATGAAGCGCAGGGTAGAGGCTACCACTGTTGAGTCGACGGGCATCACCAATGGCTTTGCGGGATCGGGGTTCTGCTCGGCCGGAATGCTGAGCTCGGCGACGGCGAGGTCTGGCATCGCGGCGCTGGTCGTCTCGTCGAGGGCTGCCTCTCGACTCTACTCCCGCGTCACAACGAAGCACGAGAGCGTGCTCGACAGAGCGACAGCGCAGCGCACTGCCCTGAGGGAGGGTGTAGAGGATGTAGAGTGTAGAGCGCTGTAGAGCTGTAGAGATGTAGAGCGCTGGAGAGCGCTGTAGAGCGCTGTAGAGCTGTAGAGCTCTACATCCGCCGCGGGACGAAGCGCCTCCGTTGTAGAGCGATGTAGAGGCGCTCTACAACGTGAAATCTCTACAACAAACTCTACATCATAAGCGGCGAACGAGGCACGGTCGCTCTCCGACATGAGGCGCGTTGCACTTGCCAGTGCTGCCCTGGCCTTCTGTCTGCCCGCCCAATGGGTGGCAGGTGCCTCTGCTGCTATGGCATGCCTCACGGCTGCGACTGGCCGGCGCCTCGACGCGTCAGCTCGGCTCGGCGTAGCGATCGTGGCCAGCGCAACTCACCTGGACTCAACGCTCAGCCAGGAGCTCCCGCACGCGCTGGCGCGAGTCATGGCGCATGCAACGCTCAACAATGCTCTCCTCGCCTCGCGCAAATGCGACCGTCCTCGCAGCCGACAGTCCACCGCCTGCTAAAGAAGCACAGCGACGAACGCGGCACCGGCGACGCATGGCAGGCTGGTCATGACGCAGTTATAGGGTGTTGTGTGCCGTCGGAGTGACTCTCTGTGTGTCAGGGATAGTCAGGGCTGTCCATCAGAGCTCCAGTAAGCTCGGAGACCCCCCATTAGCGCGGCTTGACCTCTTTGAGTCACTGCCTTCCCGGCGGTTTGGCTGTAGAGCCTCTACAACAAACTCTACAGCAAAATCGCGCTCTACATCGCTCTACAACGCACGCGCCTCGTCACGCGGCGGATGTAGAGCTCTACAGCTCTACAGCGCTCCAGAGCGCTCTACAGCTCTACAGCTCTACAGCGCTCTACACTCTACATCCTCTACACCCTCCCTCAGGCACTGCCGTCCAGTCGGCGAAGGGACGGCTGCTGCGCAAAGTGATCAGTTCTAATGAATGTACCGGGGCCCGACGGATAGATGAATCCGGGGCACCCTCCGCTCGAATCCCTGGCCGGGGGTTCGAGGTGGCCCCCACCCTGGGGCCTCCCATCAAAGGGACTGCTGCAGAAGACGCCCAATCTTGCACAAGTGCAAGAACCATACGTCTCTCTCCGTTTGTCTCCGTTTCTCCTCCTTGCCTCGCGCGCCTCTTTTGCGGCCTCATCCCTAGCTGCCTTGCACGCTCTGAGAACGCACTTCTCGTAAAAGAAAGAAAGAAAACAGACAACCCAAGGGAGGGATGGGCACTTCTCGTGGCGGTGTCGTCCGATTTGGTAAAATTGTTTTCTTGTAAAATTCTTTTGCCTCGCGCGCCCGGGTATTGCAAAAGCGGCCAGGCGATCCGACATCCGACTCACGCGATGCCAGCTAGGCGTCGAAGATTCCTGAAGCTGTCATACGCCCTGACGCTCGCTGCCGGTGCGCTTGCACTCATCCTGGCGCTCGTTGCCACCGAGGCGCTGCTGCTGCCGAATGCCAGCGCCCGGCACCAGTCGCTGCTGCCTGTCGCCTCTGCCGCACCTGTCCCTGCCGCACGCAGCATTTCGGCGGCGGCGGCGGAGGCGGCGGCGGGCGCCTTCGCCCTGCTCTCGCGTGCTGACAGCGACAGCCTGCCCGCCCGGCCTCCGTCGCTCAGCTTTGAGGCGCGGGCGGCGCCAAACATCTCTGTGGTGGTTCCGTGCTACGGGCATGTGCCGTACCTCGAGCAGACGCTAATGTCGGTGGTGACCCAGCGGTACCCTCCCGCCGAGATCCTGGTCCTCGACGACGGCTCGGAGGAGCGCTGCGGCGACGCCGCAGCGGCAATGCTCCGCAGGCCGGCGCTCGCGCGGCCGCGCCGCAGGCAAGTGCTGACGCTGGTGGGGTGGTGGGGGTGGAGCAGCGCGGACCTGGCTCGCTTCGAGGACGAGGTGGTGGTGACGCCGAACCGCGGCGTCGCCCACGCGCGCAACGCCGGCATCCGCCGCGCACGCGGCGAGCGGACCACTGCGTCCCTGCGGCGACTGTTCCCCACAGTCCTCCCTGAGCCTTCTCTGAGTGTCCTGCAGGCGACTGGATCATGTGCCTCGACGGCGACGACACCGTCTCGGACAGCTACCTCATGCGCGCGATGGAACAGGTCACCACACACACACACACACACACACACACACACACACACACACACACACACACACACACACACACACACACACACACACACACACACACACACACGCACGCACACACACACACACGCACACACGCACGCACGCACGCACACACACGCACACACACACACACACGCACACACACACACACGCACACACACACTCACGCACACACGCACGCACGCACGCACGCCACGCACGCCACGCACGCACGTGCACCGACACCTTCACTTGAAATGCTGCGGCTCCTGTCTCACAGAACAATTCAAGCAGTCCCCAATCAGTCCCCCACCGAGGATTGGATATGATCAGGTCGCGCTAGTGCCGCGCACCAACCTCGTGTATGCCAACCAGCAGTTCTTCGACGGCTCGCGCTGGCAGTGGACGGTGCCGCCCCTCCGCGCCGACAACGCGCTGGTCAACGGCCCGCTCCCGCTGATGACTCTGTGGAGAAAGGAGCGCGGGCTAGATGCCGAGTCCGTGTCCCGCCTCTGGCGTGGGTGCGAGTCCATTCTCCTCGCCCGTCAGCAAGCCACGCACTCGGCTGCACTCGCCCAGAGGTCAAGCCCAGAGGTCAAGCCCCCGTGTCCGCGGTGTTTGTACGGCGGATCTTCGGGCTAGCCGCTTGAGGCCTCGTCACTCATCGAGTGAATGGTAGGACCTCTGGCTAGCGACGCCGCACGGCTTCGACGAGGCGCTCCCAAAGGGGCACGAAGACTGGGCCTTCTGGCTGCAGCTCACGGAGCGGCCGCCGCTCGACTCGGTTCTGTGTCCGACAGCTCGCTGCGTCTCTGAGATTAGGCTGCAGCTGACGCGGCTGCCGCTGCTGCCGCACAAGCTGGACGACTTCCTCACCCAGTACCGCTACAAGAAGGACTCCAAGATGCGCACGCGAGAGCGCAACAACCCGGAGGCGCCGCGGCTCCCCCGCCTGCACGAGAGACGCCTCCCGAGACCCTCCCTCGAGCCGTCCTGCAGGTCCCGCGGCTCATGCGCACCCTCTTCGCCGACCTGTGCGCGAACCTTCCGAGAACCTTCCTCCCTCCCCGCCCCGGCCGCTGCCTCCACCACCGCCCCGAGGAACGCCCACCCCGCCGGTCGATACCGCCGCCTCCACTCTGCCCGCCTCCACTCCGCCACCCTCCGACACGTCCACCCACACGTCCGCCGACACATCCACCCACACGTCCGCCTGACATGGCCGCCGACACGTCCACGGCGCGTCCGCAGGTACCCGGTGCGCAAGCTGCTGATCGACCACCACGAGCTGCTCAAGCCAGCCGGCGAGCCGGGCCAGAAGCCGGGCATCACCGAGGCGGTCGTCATGGACGTCTCCGTCTCGCAGCACCTCCACCCCACCCGCCCGGAGCCGCACCTCTGGTCGGGGATGATCCTGCAGGCAAAGGGCGACCTGGCCGGCGCGGCGGCCGCGTACAACGCCTCCGCCGCGCTCGCCGCGCCGTACGATTGGCAGGGCTCCTACCGCCTCTGGCGGGCGCTGCTCCTGCTCGGCGACGGCGCCGCGGCGGCGCGCGAGGAGGCGGCGCTACGCCGGCGGTGGGGCGACGCGCAGATGCGGTGGTACAGCACAGACGCTTATGGTGGCGTACTGCCCGCCGCGTCGGAGTGAGCGGCGCTGCCCGTGTCGTATCCTTGACGTCTTTTACACGAAATACACTCCTGCGATCATTTGGCGATACACGTCTCCTAGCACCACGTCTCCTAGCAACATCACGTGTGACACTTTATGTGCCGTGCAGCGTAATCCGGATCTAGATGAAGCCACGTTTTTGCATCCTAACAGCTGTGAAGAGGCCTGCCGGGATCGACCACCGCCAGCTAAAGCCCAGCTCGTGAAAACAGAAGAAGGAAATCGCCAGCGTCACGAGCAGCGGCGCTGCGAGGTTGAGGAGCCGCTCAGGATGTAGCCTCATCAGCGATCTGTGCGGCGGCACAACCTGCGAGTCCGTAGCGTCGACGCTCTTTGCGTGGCCTAACGCAATGGCCTGGGAGCTTGGCGAGTAGTCCGGAAGTAGACCCGCGCCTCGCCTGTCGCATGAATCGTGTCGTGCGACGGCCGCCTTTGGTTCTAAAATTCTTTCGTGCCAACCTTTGTGAGGACGACGGCGCCTTCTAAAGGTCCGTCGCCGGCCTCTTTTGGTACCTGTGTCGAACCTGTGTGCTGTGCGAGTGGTCTACTCATAGCGGTGGTTGAGACCGATTGCCTCAACTGTCAACCACGTGGTTGACAGAGGCAGCCTCAACCCTCAACCAAGTGGTTGACAGACCCCTTCAACCCCTCAACCACGCGGAATGGCTGTTCACACCCCCCGCGCAAAGGTCTGAACACACATTCTCTGTGACCATGCATGTCGTCTTCTTTAGACGCCTGGATGCTGCATTTGACGCGCCGTTTTTACGAGTACTTGCTTCAGCTACGTGTGTGAATGGGAGGGTGATGCAAAAGCCCGGAGGAGCGCTGACAGCCATCGAAGGCCCCCACGGGGCGGTCCCGGCCGACAGGCCTCTCAGTTCACGCCGGAATCGTGAACCGTGAACCGTGAACCAACTAGCCCCCGCCCCGAGTCTGTGAACCCCGAACCGTGAACCAACTAGCCCCCACCCCGAGTCCGTGAACCGTGATCCGTGAACCGACTGCGAATCAAACTCGATGGAGGCCTACTTGCCGGGCTCATAGTCCTTCTCGTGCTTGCGCATGTACTCCAATGAAGCTTGAAGGCGCGGTTCATGCGGAGAATCACCACCATCGAGTACTCCTCCGCGTTGAGACTGAGGCGGTGACGCGGTGCACCACCTGCTTGGCGCAGAAAGACTCGGCCATGAGGGCGCCGAAAGACTCGCCATCGCCGGGAGGAAGCCAAACCGTGGCTGCTTCTCAAGGTCGCGGTAAATCCGTCCCATGTCCAGGTGAAGCTGGTCGATGAGGTCGTCTTGAGGATCGAAGTCGTACTTGTCGTTGTCCTGTGAACAAGCGCGATATGAGTTCGAAAGTAAAATCCGTAAGTTATCGGCGTCGGACGGTCGGAGGAGCGTGGGCGGCAACTGTATGTTAGGGCTGAGGGTCGACAGACGGCCGGCGGGCAGTAGGCACAGGTAGCTTGGCCTGTACAAGGGTTTCCGGAAACCCAGAGGGAAACCAGAGGGTCCCCAGCACTTTGCGGGTTTCCGGAAGTTTTCAGGGAAACCAGAGGGTGTTTGGTGCTCCATTCTGTTTCTCTCGAGTTTCCCTCGGGAAACTCGCGAGTTTCCCTGAGTCTGAGAGCTGTTCTGGGGCAAAATCTGAGGCAAAATTGAGGAAATCGGCACGATACCGGGTATTTTCCAGGTATAGCCGGGGTTTGTCAGGTATACCCGCAAAATACCCGGTATTTTGCCGATTTGGCCGATTTGGCCCCCCAAAACAGCCTCAGACTCGGCTCAGCCCGGAGAAATGGATGGTTTCCCCGTGGAGTTTCCCCAGGAATCTAGAGGGTGCTGTAGGGAAACTAGCAGGAAACACGGAAGAAACCAGGTAGGGTGCGAGAGGAAACCCTTGTACAGGCCAACAGGTAGCCAATCATCTCGTCTTTTCCTTCGAATTTCTGGGTCTCGCTCTCGGTTCACGGGTGATTCGCGAACTGTGGTTCGCGAACTGTGTCGGTGTGTAAGAGGTGTGAAAGGAAGCTTGGTTCATGAACTAGTTCAGTGGTTCACCCTCGAACCGACCATGAACTCTGAACCGTGAACTCGAACCGAGGCAGGACAAAGGGCGAACCGCGAACCGTGAACGAACCAGGGGGGCAGCGTCGGGCCGAACCGTGAACCGTGAACCGACTAGCACCCGCCCCGAGTCCGTGAACCGCGAACCGTGAACCAACCGTGAACCGCGAACTAGTTCATGAACCGGGTTCACGGTTCACCTCGTGAACTGAGAGGGCTGCCGGCCGACGTCATGGCCGTCTGCGGACGCAGCCCTCCGTCTCCGGAGACATTACCGAACTCAAAACTGCTTATACCAAAGGCAGATACGAGCTCAGCTCAGTGAGATCTAGCAGCACATACCCTCAGTATCCAGAATAGTAAAAGTCTGAAAAAGTCGGTCCGACCGCGCAGAGCGGTCTGGCTCTGTCTGCAGAGCTTCCGTCCGAGCCCTGAGAAATGTCGGAGGCATGTCGGCCCATGTTCGCGATTTTGATGGCGTTGCCCTCATTGCACGTGAAACAGACCGCGCCGGCCACGCACCCTGGTTCCCGGAGGCCAACTCGAACAGGTTACTTTGAGCAATGGCCGCCTTCCATGCTCGATATGCAGCAGGAGCTTAGTTGGGGCGGGGGGCAGTCCCCCTGGCGTCTGATTCTCGTACTGGGGGTGTGGGTGTCTCCCAGTCTCGGAGGACGGAGCACGGAGGGGGGCAAAAAGATAAGAATATCTAATTTTATGCCAGCTACACAAACCCACAGCACCGTCAGCGTGTATTCTGGGCGACGACGGAGAACATGCAACCAATCGAATGCGCCAGTTGCGACGCCGGCTGGGACTGTGGGACCTGCTTGATGCTTGTCGAGAGCTCGGGCTGCCCCTGGACCTCGGCAATCATTCGTGGCTGCAGCGGTGGCACATCGCTCAACTCATTTTGCGACGGTAACGGCAGTTGTGGGACGTCAGACGTCGCCAACAACTGCCGCCTCGGCAAGGACATCTACAAGCGGGTCGAGTGCACCGCCACGCCTCCATCGGCGCCTCCCGCGACCCCGCCGAGCAGCCCACCCTCACCACCCCCACCCATGCCACCGTCCCTGCCCGTCGCGGATGGAGAAGGCGAAGGTGTAAGCTTCCTCTCCGCCGATGCCAATGACGGACAAGCGTGGCTGGTGCCGCTGGTTGCGGGCAGCGTCGCAGTCGCATTGACGCTCTGCCTCTGCTTCCTCTGCTGGCGCTGCTGCGGCCGCCGCCACAAGCGCGCCCCGGGTGCTCTTAGGCCAGTCTTCGACCCCGACCCGGATGATAGCCCCTTCAAATGCCCATAAGCAACATGTCATGCAGACTGAGACCCCTACTACAACCCCGCTCTTCGCGGCTGTTGGCGGCGCGGCATGTCCATGTCCATGTGAGATGTGTGCGAAAAACACACTAAACACGCCTCACACGCACACATCTCCTCTGGGGGGAGGCGAGGGCCCTAGGGGGTACCCATGCGGGGGGGAGATGGGGTCCCCCAGCCCGCCGCAGGCGCCGATGGATTTTTTCTTTTTCGCGCGATTTTTAACTTGTTTTCATGGGAATTCGGCGTACTTGCGGCCATGCTATCACGCCTTGCGACATCCTTTCGGCGCTGCTGACCGTGCCATGCTGCTCAACTGACCGCCTGCATAGCTCGCGGCCTTAGTCTTCGGCATTCAGTGACGACCTGATCGTACGGCCAGTAGGAATGTGTCCTTCCAGCCGCGTGCACGCTTCTGACGCAATGCGCGTCACAAACTGCCTCGGATTGGCTGCTGGCACTCTCGAGGCTATGCCTACACAGCCTCGCGCGCATGGGCAGTCAAGAGGGACCATGCACCTTCTCAGGACAGCGCCGGTGCCTCTCTCTTGGACCGGCAAACGTGGTGGTCTCGTGTCACCAATGTGGGACCAGTGCGGCATCGCGCCATCGACAGCTCTCTGAACTGCGCCTCACCACTGACCGGGAAGGCCGCCAAGTTGGCCAGCACAGGTCGCACATTGTGGCAGCAGTCAGCAGCGCATGTCTGATAGCTAGAGCAGCAGCGTCAGGGTCGCAGGGTCGGATCGTGTCAAGCCTCTCGCCCGGCCGGCCGCGTGCAGACGTCGGCCTGTCTGCTGTCTGGAGTGATCTGTCGGCGGTCAGTACGACCGATCAGGTTGGAGTTTTCTGATGGTTGGAGGGTCTATCTGTATGTACTCCTCGAGATCTCTCCAAATCTGCCCTCTGATCAACCCTCATTCGGGAAGTCGGTGCTAACGGAGACTAACGGAGCCGGAGCCCCGTTTCCGCACTGCTGCGCGGCGCACGGTGCCTCCGGGGGCCCCCGCCTCCCCCCAGAGCACATCTCACAAATGGCAGGCGGCGGCGGCGTCGCACAGGACGAGGCAGACGAAAGCGACGCGACAGAGGAGGAAGCGACAGGAGGGAGAACGATGAGAGTGGGACGACCGCGAGGTGGCATGAAGGTTGCAGCGAGAATCGGCGAGGGACTGCGAAGGGAGATAGAAAGAGGCAGACCGCGACCAAGGCCGAAAAGACTTTTGTTATATTAGTTATTACTTTTGAGAGGGACTCATATTTCTCACTGGTCCCTCAAATTGTCAATGACTCATTTGTTTGTGGAGAGTATTCAGTAGACGCGACGCGATAGAGCATATAGACCGATATCTGGGACACGTTTTTGATATACGCTTTTCGCTTCGCTTTCAACACAGAGCACGGCGCGCGAGTGCCCGCGAGCCCCCCGTTTGAGTATTGCGCTCTCTCTCTCCTGTCTCGGCGCTTTTGATATACACATATATCATATTCGCGGTAGAGCCGTATCTCGAGTTCTCGCGGCAGCCCGTTGGCGTCGCGGGCTCAGCCGACCGGCACGCCGTGCACGTACTGTGCTGGCAGCGGCACTCCGGCCCGCTCGACCAGCGCCCGGTATGCGCGCAGCGGCCCGCTCTCCACGGTGTCGGCGATCGGAGGCACTTCGCGCGGCGGGACGCACGCCGCGTGCCCGTCCGCTGCGGAGAGGCCGAGCCGGCAGCGGGCGCCAAAGAGCGCCCACGCGTCGGCGGCGCCCGGCGGGGGCGGAGGTTCTTGCTCGTCGCCCGCATCGGCTGGCTGCGGCTTGAGGTGGGGCGCGGCGGCACGGTGCAACGCCTGCAGCTGCGCCGCGTGCATCGAGCCGCCGCCGGCCGAAGCGACGGCGCCGGGAAGCGACTTGCGCCGCTCGGCCTCGTCGCGCCGCGCCTCGTCTCGCGCCGCCTCCGCTCTCGCCCGCTTGAGCGCGATCGCCGTCGCCAGCGGCAGAACCGCACGCACCGGAGGAGGGAGCGCCGCCCACGGGCCCGCAGCCGCCCAGTCAGCAGCCTCGCCAAACGGGAGCGGCGCCGCGCCCTCGCTCGCAGCCCGCCGCCCTGCGAGCCAGAGCCAGAGCAGCCGCAACAGCCACTCGCACTCGGGGAGGAGCGCACTGTAGTCGGCGCTAGTGCGCGCGCCGCTCGGCGCGGGAAGCGCGTCCGGCGCGCCGAGCAGCCGCTGCTCGCCGGGCGGCCTGCG